CAAGTGCGATTCTTTGTTTCGAATTGCAAGAAATATTTGAAAAACTTTTTATGAGTGGTTCATTGGACGAGAGTTCGTCGACCATGGAATTTAACTAGAAGATTTGTTGATAATTCAGTAGAATAGTGGAATAGGTGTTTTGTATCAATTATTCCTTGATTGAGCGTTTCTGGTAATGTAATCAAGTGCTATGATTTGCTTCGAATGGTAGGAAATATTTGAATAGTTTTTTATGAGTTTTTCATCGAGCAAATGTTCTGGGATTATATAATCTTCATAAAATGGTTGTTTCGAGTTGAACGGAATACTGGAATATTTGTTTGCTTTGAATTATTTTTGTATTGTGTTCTGTCGGTTAATATAAGCAACTTGAAATCTGTGTTTGGAAGTACATAGATTATTTGAATGGCTTTTTTACGATTCGCTCATCTCGTAGGAAATTTGAATAGGAGATGGCTACCATCGTTTCTTTGAATTGAGAAACATATTTGAATAGGATGTTTAAACCAAGTATGTTGTAATGATTTCGTGTTGATTTTAATCTCGCAAAGATTGCACTAACAGCTTTGTCTTCTTTGTAGGACAGATGGCTCCAAAGCAACATCATGCATTTACAAGTGGACCAGTGTTATTTATCATCCAAACCAATAAACAATTAGTATTAGCTAGTTTTCTTCCCTTATCTTTTTTAACCAAATGGTTTCCTTTATTTATAATCTCGTAACCTTTTTTCTCTTATCTTCTGAGATACTTGTTAGTTCTTCCTTTTCGTTTTTTCTCAATTTTTTATATTTATTAATTCTAACAAAATCCATTTAAAACATATTTTCTTTGTACTAATAATATATGTGCAGCATGAGCATCAATAAATAATAAGATATTGAGTAAATGAGTATTTTATGCAAGAAGAAAATTTTTGATTCCATTATTTTCATTATAATAATGAAACAAGACATCGATAAATAATAATAAATGAAAACAAAAATTGTTTTTGTTTTGTTGGATTGATCCAATTTATGTTATTATAAATTGTATTGATGATGGCCGCAACAATAAGGCGGAAAACTCAACAAAACAAAAAATACAAACAAACTTTTTTCATTTATTATTATTAATTTTTTTTTTATTATAATAATGTTTTTTTATTTTATTGTATTCTATTTTATTTATCTTCTTGTATTTTATTGTATTTTTTCTTGTTTTATTTTTTATTTTAATTTAAATTGATTTTTATTTTCTTTTTTATTTTCTTTTCTTTTATTTGAGGTACTTTTATCTTTGCTCGTTCTGTGATCAACCAAATATCTTGAGGCGCTGTAATGTAAAAGGACCGGTTTTTATTTAATGTATTTTATTTAGTTTATTTTGTTTTATTTTATTTTTATTTTATTTTAATTAAATTTAACTTAATTTTTATTTTGTTCTTTCTTACTATATTTTATTTTATTTTTTTGAGATTTTGATGGGGAATGAAATCAATCGACCGTGAATATAAATTTTTTATTTTATTTTATCCTTATTTTATTGTGTGGTGTTTTATTTGATCATATTTTATTTTATGTTTTATTACGGCATGAAGTCAATCCAGAGTATAAATTAGTTTTATGTTTTTTATTTTAGTTTTATTTGAATATAATTAAAGTTTTTTTTATTATTTTTTATTTCATTTTATCTTATTTTGCTTTAGATTTTATTACGATATGAAGTCAGTCAACAGAGAATACAAACTTTATGTTTAATGTTATTTAATATTATTTTCATTTAATTTTTTCATTTTATGGCATTTTATTTAATATATTTTATTGCGTTTTTTATTTTTCTTTACTCTATTTTGAGTTTTTGTGAATTTAATTTAATTTTTATTTTTGTTTACTTATTTTCATTATCATTTTATTGTTTTTAATTTTGTGGTATTTTTTTCTAATCTACTTTATTGTGCTATATTTTTAATTTATTTTTTTAATTTTAATTATCATTATGTTTGTTTAAAACTTTTATTGTAGTTTCTTTTATTTTACTCTGTTTTAAATTTTGTTATTCAACAGTTGAAAATAATAATAAATTGAAATAAATTATATTTAAGATATTAATTTGCACCTAATGGCACAAGAGGGAGGAAGTGGGAAAAGGTCAAACAAGATCTAATATTCAAGTATGAATTCAACAGGATCCTATCGGATCCGATTGTCGAATTCTTCGATCTGAATAGATGAAAGATTTAACTCATGACAAAAAAAAATACAATGTACTGAAAAAGTAAGAAATATTGAATGTTTATTCACCACAGAAATTAGAATTAGAAGTAATAAAAATTCTTTTCATCATTTTTCACCTGACTTCAAGTGAGAACTACTGAGATTGATCTTTACAGGGTGTTTCATAAGTTTTGAGGAGCGACAAAATTAGTTTATCTGCAGACACAGAATAATCCCTAACCAAATGTATTTTATATGAGCTTTAAGTACTCGTGACGGCCTTTCAAATGACATAAAATTCAATGATATCGTCTCTTGTAATAATAAAAATACAACCATGAGAATATTTTGATAAATTTTTCAAAATCAACGAACAATATGAGTCTCCTATAATAACTAATGATAAATAGTTAATAATATTTTCTATACTTTTTCTTGGTATAGAAGGCTAAGATTTTTATCACATATATATCTAATCAAGATCTTTTATTTATAAGAATTTTAGCTCTCTAGCTGTAACTATTGGTGAAATACATCGATAAGATTGAAATACACAAATTTCGATAGTCGATCTTTGGCCTATTTTCACAAAATAATGCAAAAATCGAGTATCGAAATTTATCTATTTCACCAGTAGTTATAACTAGAGTGCTGAAGCTTTCGAAAATAAAAGATCTTGATTAGATATATATGTGATAAAAATTTTAGCCTTCTATGCCAAGAAAAAGTATAGAAAATATTATTAACTATTTATCATTAATTATTATAGGCAGGAGCCGCGCGAGCGGGGGGGTGTGGGGAAGTGTACACCCCCCCAATAATTGAAAATTTTTGTTTTTTTTTTGAGCGACGGGAGCAGATTTGGAACAAATTTTGTGTTTTTTTAAGAAATTTTGCTCTAAATACCCTTTTACACCCCCCCAAAAATTTTTACACCCTATCAAAACCCACTATACCCCCCCAATCTTAGACCTTTCGCGCGGCCCCTGATTATAGGAGACTCATATTGTTAGTTGATTTTGAAAAATTTATCAGTATATTCTCATGGTTGTATTTTTATTATTACAAGAGAAGATATCATTGAATTTTATGTCATTTGAAAGGCCGTCACGAGTACTTAAAGCTCATATAAAATATATTTGGTTAGGGATTACTCTCTGTCTGTAGATAAACTAATTTTGTCGCGCCTCAAAACTTATGAAACGCCCTATACTGATGGCAAAACGATTACCTTCAATTGATGTATTACGTATTGGTTGAGCAGCAGGTATTACTAGTCGACCTTTATTACTACAACCATCAGTAAATATAGAAAAAATTCCTGGAATTCCTTTACTTAAATCTCAACATCTTACTTCACAATACTTTCTAGCTAAAGCTAAAGTATCACCAGTTGCTGTATTTGTACGAATATGTGAAAGTGCAGCAATATGTGTGAGTAATTCTGTTTTATCAAATTCAAATACTCCAATTTGAGTAAAAAGTGATACATTTGATGCATAATTAATAAGAGCTACACCAGCTTTTTTTTACATCAATATTAAGTCGACTGATAGCATCAATTAATACTTCTTTACCTTTTTGAAAATCATCAAAAGAAATACTTCCAGATGAATCTATTATAAGAATAAGATCGATGACAGCATCACATTTACCTTTCACCTTCACCATGAACATAATTAGACAATGCTATTAAACAGATAATCAAAATATTGATTGATAACATCATCATTTGCATTATATTTGTAAATATCACTTTAGAAACGTCATTTTTCGTTGACTATTTATTTCACAGTATATGATATTGATATCTATTTTCTGTTTTACAATCTCATAAAAATGAAACCTCTGACGAAGTAAATAAATAGTGAAACTATTGTTAATCATTTGTATCACATTATATATATTACACAAAATTTCTAAGTGATATATTTTCAATCAAAAGATTATTCTGTACAAAATGCTTGATAAGTAACTTTACGATAAGAAATTTGAATATCTTCACTCGATTTGTTGTTTCCATAAGAACAACATTTAAATAACTATTATCTTGTAGTATTATCATTGGCTTCAATAATGAATTTTTTTCTTTTACAGTATTGAGGATGACCTTAATAGATCGATATTGAATATATTTGATCATATATTTCGTTATGCAATGTGTGCTTGTTTTTTCTCTCTCACTGCCAATATGAAAATCCTCGTTTTCATCAGTACAATGAAGTGAAAGCGAGAAATAGTTTAAAATATAATTCAAATTCTTAAAATTGATATCGTTGAGTTGAAATAAAAAGAGAAATTATTTTATTCTCAAAATGAAAATTTATTATTTGAATAGTTTTAAAAATTTTTGTAATTTTTGCTTTTTAATATGTTTCTATGATGATACTCAAGTCAATATTATTTTTAAAACAGTGCAAATGATGACAATTTATTATTTTGTGGAACTCACATATATCTTAGAGGAAAATTAGTGAGTGTGAGTTTTAAGCTCAAGCTTTTGCGGCTTCCACCCCTTCCCCCCTTACTGACACATAGTAATGTAAGGCCCCATTACAGACACTCCCTATTAAAGACACTCCCATTACAGACCTTAGCAATTAAGAATAATAGACGTCAGACTTTCTAGGTTTTTTGAAAAATTGATTATGTTATAATTTTGAAAGATAATCAACATCATTGTTTGTAAGCTGATTAATATATATAATAGTGCGTAAGATCTACTGTAGATATCATGGATATGTAAAACAAATTTATTTGCCAATTAATTCAACGATTATAATGATAAGAATGTTGAATTATGAAAAACGAATTAAGAAAAAATGAAATATAATGAACGATTAGCAACAATGCAAAATAAAAATAGGGCGCTCTCGAACAAAAAAAATTTTCTGTTTTAAATGAAGAAATAAATAACAAAGTCTTGCTCTTGTCATTGATTATCAATGAAAATAACTATAGTGCACACGAAATTTTTCAGTTGACATGTGATATGTTAGAATATTAAGGTTTAAGGATATATGTGAGTTTCACGTTTCAGCTCCAAAAGAGCTGCGCTAACAAGCTTTTTTTTCTATTTATTAATGCACTGTGAAACACAGCATTTAAGTAATCCTTCGTGAGTTATTTTTCTCTTCACAACATCCGCATAAAAAATTGGTATTTCCTGTCACGATGATTTCAAGCATGAAAAGTCACACAATATTCGTTCAAACGTTAAATGAAAATAGTGAGATCAAATCGATACTATTTTTGTTCGGATCTTCAATAGAACGCTGTATTTTCTTATAGAAAGCCATCAGCTGATGATACACAATGAATCAAAATGAGAATCAAGCGATCAATTGATAGTATTTCATGAGAAACACAATAATATCTGTTTATAGAGTCCTCTTAATGATAAATTTTGCCATAGTTCATTTTCACTTCCTTTCAGACTTCAATCAGCTGATTGATCAAAACATGCCATTTCTATTTTATATCAACAAAAAAAAATCTTGGTTCTAGTAAAACGTAAATAACTTTTGGAGAAAAGCTTTTCGTAATCAATTGTAAAAACAATCATTCGTTTTTTTTCCGATAATTGATATCATTGTAGGCTTTGCAATGCATTTCGTAGTCAAGTAAAACTTGCGAATGTCGTTCTAGATCTTTGATAAAATGACTACATCAAGAAAGAAAAAAAATAACAACATAGCCCTTTCATCAGTATTTCTACATACTTTTTAAGATTGTCCATTTTTTTCAAAAAAACCAGGAATATTATATAGACTATCTCGAAACTACACTGTTTAATATTTTAATAAATTTATACAGTTCAAGAATTAAAATTCAACATAACTATGGAGAATTTTTCTTGTCCTGTCTAAAAGAAAAAGCTATTAGCGTAATTTCTGTGAGATTAAAATATGAGATATGATGTAGCTACTGTTGCTAATCATAATGAGATTGTTTTATTCTATCTATTTTGTGACACATTTCTTCATCATCCTCTTACACAATCCTCCAGCAATGTAATAAGGAAGTAGTTCATTTATTATAATGAGATGTTACTCATATGCGGTCTGCGATCATATATCAACAACGTCTGTCACATCTGTGATGGGTTGTTGCTAAGGATGCCTGCCACGTCTGTAATCAGCGGTGTCTGTCATGTCTGTGGGGAAGGGGGTCCAAATTTCAACTTCTATACTTCAAAACTCCTTTTAGATCGTGTTTCATAAAAAGTTTAAACATATCTTTCATGCTTTTTTAATAATATTTAATCAACCGATTTAACACATGATATGATAATTTCCGCTGTAAGTTACATATATTTCATCATTGTTTATCTGTCATAATTTGTCAACTGAATAATCTGTTAAAGAATTCACGCGTCTAATAATATTTTTCTTTGGTTTTCCCTTGTTCTTAATTAATTCAAAATAAAAAGATATATGATAACGAAAAAAAAAGCAAAACGAGACAACAATGAAAAAGAAAAAACAAACAAACAAACAAATATATGCACAGCAAAACAAAAATAAACAAAACCTTTGACTGTTTTTACAGTCGACCAATTTATTGATATGTACATGACAGTAAAAATAAATTGAGCAATAATGGAAACATATATATATATGTTAATTTCCATTTTTCCAATTTTCACTCGGTTCAAGATGTACAATAGTATTCGTTGCTGTATCAAATGTTCGAGATGTTGTTGTTGGTTGTGGACGATTTAATGATGTTCGTGATTGCATATCAATTGGAGTATTTTCACATATATTTACTGATTGTGCATGACGCATACCAACGTGTTGATCTTGCTATTTAAAAAAAAACATTTTTTTCTCAAATAAGGAAAAAAATATTTACTACTTGTTGTGCTGTTAAACTCATTTTTGATGGTGATGGAACTTTATGAACAATCGTAGCACTAAATTCACTTCCATCATCTCTTTCGAATTGATACATTCTGTAGACAAAAAAAGACGATTGAATAATAACAAAAAAAATTCGTTCTATTTTTTATTACTTTGATAATTGTCGTTGTTCATTTGATCGTAAAGAAATTTTAGATGCAACACTTGCTGATCGTAAACGTACACGGACATGTGGATCCATTTCATCTTCTTCATCACTTGGTATCATACCTGATAATTCACATTGACGTTCTTGTAATTTAATAAGTAATTCACGAAATTCTCGTCGTAATTCTTCTAATTTTGTTGTTATTATTAAACGTTGAGTTTGACTTGATGAATCATTCATATCGACATTTTCAAATTGACTTTTTAATGAAAGTAATTCTTGTTGTAATGTTGTCATTTTTGCTTGAATCTAAATACAAAAAAAAACAAAAACATAATAATAATAATTATTTTTTGTTTATTTTTACTTCTTCTATAGATAAATCATCAGACATATCAGATATACTACTGATACTTTTCTTTTGTGGTTGCATTTTTGGTGGTCGAATTATTCGACGAATTTCACCTGGAATTCGTCGATGAGCAAGAAGATCTTGAACAACACTTAACTAAATATAATAATTTGAATATATATTAAAAGAAAAATCGTGAAGGAAAACGAAAATAAAAACGAAAATTACTTGTTGATTAAAACATTCAGTAAAAAATCTTGGATTAGGTATAATATTTGGATCCACAATAACAGCAAGACGAATTTCATCAGCATATGATGTAACACAAAAATTAATACTAGCTGTACCAATACTTGGACTAAGACATATTAAACTTCGTACATCACGATTACATATGGACACTGTTGCTAATGCTGTAGTACTTCCAGCAGCTAATGATGTTAACCATAAACTAGCACTATTATAAATACGACTAATAATCTTATTAGCTAAAATGCATTTAATGAAATTAATTTTTTAAATTAATTTATTTATTTCAAACATACCAAAACAAAAAGGAAATAGAAGATAAGTGATATGCGTAAATAAATACATAGTAGCATAATCTCCATTTTCTTTAACACTTTTTATACTATCATTAAATGACCATAAAAGTGGAATGTTACCTTCAATATTCATAGGTAATTCAATACAAAGATGTGATATTTTGTTTCCCATAACTATATTAGCTGAATTTGATCGAAGATCACAAGGCATTACACAATTCATATTGGATGGATTAAAAACTCTATGATGAAATAGAAAAAAAGAATTAATGAAGTAATCAAACGAAAATAACAATATCTTTGATGTGTATAATAAAATTAAAAAAATTATTATTTTTACTCTTTCAACTGGAAAGAATATCAAATTTTTTCAACCTTTCATTTATTAATAATAATTAAATTTACCCATATCGTTCCATATATAATTTGACAGTAGATATAACTAATGTTGAAAGAAGATTATTCATACGTGTTCTTGTGACAAGTTTCATTCGATTAACTTGTGTTAAACTAAATGGAGTTGACCAAACAACAACTCGTTGTTGTTGTTGTTGTTGTTGTTGTTGTGTATGAGAATTAATAGTTGATACATTATTATTATTATTAGTAGTAGTAGTAGCTTTATTTTTATAAAATGTTCGTTTAAAAAAATTTTCTCTAGATGTCTTCGATAATAATTTACTAAATATGAGTTTATGTCCGAATAGATATGATTTTATATAATCAAATATAATATGTTCACTATGTTGACCAGCAAAACG